AGCTGCATGGTGAAGACCAGAAATAGAAGTTAATTTCACTGTAGTATTAATGAATTTTCCTGCAAAACTCACTTGATGAAAGTCTTCAAATCTCATGAGATTGCAGATTTTCAAATGGCTTTAGAAAATTAGAGAAGGTCTTGGGTCAATGAGCTGAACATCCCACCTGCTGTCAGGCTGGACAACAGATGATTTAAATAAGATCTATCGTCATCTGCAAACTGGAAACATCCCTCTAAGAACTGGCTGTGAATGCCTACTGAGAAAAATGCACTCTGTGGAATATTAATTTTCCAAAAAATTAAATCCAGACAGTTCATGTGAATCTGTAAGTTAAGCATTGAGTAATCTAAGATATATCTGACTATTTATGGCTTGGAAATTTAAATTCACACAGGTATTTGTATTTTTAATATTTGTTGCTGAGGGTAAACAAATATCAAATATGCTTGATGGGTTATTTTACATTTTGTGGTCATCAAGAAATAATACATTAGTATACAGCTCAAACAAATAGTCATTTTTGTTTTGTTTTGTTTTGTCCAAAGATTGGATTTAGTTTCAACAAGTATCTACTGGAGACCACCTTTATTTATCGAACATTGTCCTGAGGGCTTTCACACATCACACATGAGACAACAATATGGCAGGATAAGTGCTAAAACCTCTGGTGTTTTGAAGAACAGTTAAAAAAGATTCATATTTTTCATAGCATTTAGTAAAGCAAAGTTCTGCAGATGGTGGTGAGAAGTCCAGTGTGAGAAGTAGCACAGGAATCTTGTGCTGACCCAGAAACAGTCTTGAAAGCTCACTTAGTAGAGAATCAGAATATTGCAAATTAATTCAAGCTCCAAGCATGCAAGGCACCATAGTAGCTTTCTTTTATAGATATGGAGCCTAAATATAGTTTGAATGCACATCAATTTCATATGCACTTATAAAGATGTCTGTATAATTACAGGGTACCAAATCCAGTGCACAGTATCTAAGAACTAGCATGAGAATTCAGGGCTAATTACTCTCAAGGATAAAAAAGGGCATAGAGGGTCTGGCAATCTAATTTCTTCTCACTAAAATATGCAGTAGTGGGTGCCTGGGAGTTAAAACACTCAGACTTCACATCGTTCATACTGTTAAATATTTGCCAACATATCTTATACAATCAGACATGTTTTAAAAGCCTGTAAGTTCTACTCATTAAAAATGATGGAAGCAAGTTGAAAAAGCAGTGTTGGTGATAAGGACAGAGAACCAGCAGATAAGAACTCCACCTGGGAAAAGGGGAACCCACTGAAGTGCCTGTTTTTGTTTTTCCACTGCTCTATTTTGCATTTTTTAAAGCAAAGTCCTGATGAAGTGAATGAGTTCAATATTTCTGTTTTTATACATAACTATTTTGCTTTATGTTAAAAAAAAAAGAAAAGCTATGAACATTCATTTTGGCTGTTTTATTGTGGTGTATAGCTAACAATGTGTCAGGTATTCCCTGTTGCTATCTGATGTACCAAACATAGACAAACAGTGAAGCAGGCTCAAGACTCTCACCCGTTTTGGAACACAGAGGAATACGGCGGTAACCTGCAAAAGGAATTGTATTGAATTAAAATAATAACAACAAATTAATCAGTTATGAACCCAAAAGTGCTACTGAGAAAGAAGGTGCTTTTTTCTAAATGTACACCTAAAACCATGGCTGTGGAATTATAGTTCCATCTTGAATGTTAATTTCCCACACAAAAAAATTAAATATTTGCAATTTCTATTCTGACTTCCAGAATTATGTGCGCCTGAACTGAGCACACAGCATACTCCAAAATTAGCCACTGTTCTGCTTCAAGAAGACTCTGTTTCCTAGGTACATCTCAGATGGTGTTAGAAAAGTAAGCATGCTGAAGCAAGGTAATTAGGAGCATAGTATAAATCACCCTGGCAGCCCTGGGGAAAGGGTGGGACAAGGATCATCTCTGGCCCCAGTCTCTTTTCCTCAGGCAAGAGGGAATCATTGCCTCTTCCATCAGTCAGATCCCTTTCCCTTATTTCCTATGGTAGTTATGACTACTCTTCACTGAGACAGAGAACTATGATCCATGTAAAGAAACACACACACACCACGTTTATTTACTTAAGTGTTCCTAGGAAGCCCACATCCCCACTCTACCTTCCACATGAGAAGACATTTCTGAAACTCCATGGAAAGAAAATAGGTGTGAACACATAAATTTTCCTTTACATCTTACTTCAATAGATAGAGGTGTTTGGTATTTCAAAGTGTGCCTTTGATAAAGACAAGGTATGTTTAATGTTCACATAATCATCTTACTTTTAAGAGCATTACCTTTTTCCATGCATAGAACTGGTAAAGTATATTGCCCAAGAAATTCATTTCCAGTTAGTAAACTTTGAGTTTCAACAACAAAACGTATCAATGCCAATTCTGGCACTTGAATAATAAATGTGAATGTTTCATTCCATCTTGGACTAAAAGCTGAAATATAAAGGAGTAGATACAAAAAAAAAATCATAGACACTATCTCTAGGGAAAAAATAAGTAACAATTACTCTTCAAATTTTTCAACACTTTGATAATAATAATAACACAGCTTGTGTTTCAGAGCACTGGAGTTTTAATTCTCTCAATGAGAAATAAGTTATAATAGTAACAATATTGGCTAAGCTATGTTCTAAAAACTTTACAAAGATCACCTCCTTTAATTCTCACAATGACTCATCAGGATTATTACTGCCCCCATTCCCAGATTAAAAAAAAAAAATGAGCCACAAAGATGTTACAGAATTTCCTAGGGTTTCACATACATAGTAACTTAGTGGTAGAGAAGTCCATACACAGAGAGTTTGATTTCAGAGCAGAAATTTCAAATCATCCTGCAATATGACTGATGTGCCTAGGCATTCCCTTAACAAACAAACTGAGACATGAAGTTAGCATCATTTCTTGATTCCAGGTCCTATGACACAAATAACTCCAAACATAGTTTTTGAACTAAAAACTAGATAATGAATTCTCCAAAGCCAGATCTTCATCTTTCTTTTGACTAAGTGATCATTTCAAGATCCAAAGTGGATGAATAATTTTTTTCTCTGACAAAATAAATCATCCAAAACAACCAATTCCTTGCCAAAGCAAGAAATCTAAATGGTTTTAGAATATGACCCAAATTATACAAAATGTAGAGCATAATTTAATGGAATCAAGATACATTCAGATCAAATATTTATTTTACTCAGTAAAAACTCATGGGTTTGGAAATAAATAATATATATTGTTTTCCAGGTATAAAGGAATGCTACACTTGCTATGTCAATAGTTTCTGTTCTTTTCAGAAGCACTGATGAATTTATGACTAATTATACTAACACTACATTTTCTGAGTTGCACCTGTGGTCATAAAGGCACATTTAGCAAATGGCAATCCAGGATGTGGTCTATGCCCATGGAAACTGTAAACTAATTGGCTCATGCTGGGATAATAACTTTATTACCTTAACCTAAGAAGAGAAAGAAACATATAGAGTTCAGGAGCAGATTTAGAGTTAATTCTTTAGACACTACACACTGTCTACAGAAAATTCTTAAAACTGAGTTATATTTGTCCTTCTCCAACCCCATTCATTATATCTACCATTTCTA